GGGGCGAAATGGGCAAGGGGCCAATTGGGAAGGGGCAAAATGGGAATAAATGTGGGGCGAAGTGACGAAATGGGAAGGGGCGAAATAGGAATAAACCAAAAGATATAGATTTAGTATATGATACATCTTGACAAAATCATATTTAATTTCCAACAGGATATGCTACGACAAAAGTACTTCGTTTAAGCTCTCTTTATACTTGCACAAATACTGGCATAGACAAAAATACAAGTTGAATTCAAGTTACAAATGAAATAAACTCCATTAATTCCAAATGTTTAATTTATCTTACAAACAGATTAATCATTATCAACAACAGGGCAACACGAAGATATTGCTTTATAAGTCCAGAAAGAACACAAGATTATCTGAAATGAAATTTATAGCAGACAACAGACAGCTGTTGGAGAATGTGAATGGCCCTTTTATGTATTAACATATTATTTAATGTGTGTATGCTCTAAAAGACTTGGATTAACCCAATTTTATTTCCAATCCCATGGTATTGGCTGGATATGACAAATACAATGCAGATTAAGGGGGATATGTTTTATGGATAATCATTTTCAATAAACTGTATTTAATTTAGAGCTTTTTAAACTACAAAACCTTGAATACGCGATTATAATTTGTGCTTAAATAAATTTGAATTTATGGTGACTGCAATTCTAATTGTGTATGGCTAGGTCAGAGCTGGACTAGCAAACACAAAGTGCAGTAAAACCTGTTTGATCCAAACACCCTTTTGAACAGAAAGTGCAGTAAAACCTGTTTGATCCAAACACCCTTTTGAACAGAAAGTGCAGTAAAACCTGTTTGATCCAAACACCCTTTTGAACAGAAAGTGCAGTAAAACCTGTTTGATCCAAACACCCTTTTGAACAGAAAGTGCAGTAAAACCTGTTTGATCCAAACACCCTTTTGAACAGAAAGTGCAGTAAAACCTGATTGATCCAAACACCCTTTTGAACAGAAAGTGCAGTAAAACCTGTTTGATCCAAACACCCTTTTGAACACAAAGTGCAGTAAAACCTGATTGACCCAAACACCCTTTTGAACAGAAAATGCAGTAAAACCTGATTGATCCAAACACCCTTTTGAACAGAAAATGCAGTAAAACCTGATTGATCCAAACACCCTTTTGAACAGAAAATGCAGTAAAACCTGTTTGATCCAAACACCCTTTTGAACAGAAAATGCAGTAAAACCTGATTGATCCAAACACCCTTTTGAACAGAAAGTGCAGTAAAACCTGTTTAATCCAAACACCCTTTTGACCTCCCAAAAGTGTTCGGATTAGCAGGTGTTCACATTTCAATGTTTTCTAACATGGTAGTCAATGGAGGATTAAATTTGAAACAAGAAAAATTGTTTACATGATGAGGTGTTCCGATTAGAGAGGTGATCAAATACACAGGTTTTAGTATAGATGAAACTCTTTGAAGGATGCAAAGTAAAAGTATTGAAAATGGCAAGATCTAATACAACTTTATTTTATTTTCTATCTGGAGTAGGAACCTGGGCCTAATATAAGAACCTGGGCCTAATGTAGGAACCTGGGCCTAATGGTAAATGGATCTACAAACATAACATAGCTATGTAACTGAAACAGATAAAATTGATTAATCAATTTCATTTTTATTGAATCATTTAGCCATTCTCGTCTGATTACAATTCTGATTATGTCAGCCTGATCTCCATCTGAATTTAAATTAAACATTCCATTTCTACAATTACAACCCAATTGGTCTGACATACCTGAGTATAGTAAAATACATATTTACAACTTATAAAATACAGTTTAGGAAACAGGCAATGGAAAACATGTTGGAACTTGGAAGTTCCCCCAGGGGTTCATCGTATATAGAATTCGAAGAGGGTCCGAGGCTGAACCCACAGATATCAATATGTTCCCATACCAATCTGCCAAATTTCAATGTGTTCCCATACCAACCAAAATAATGCCCAAAAGCCATACCAAATGTCTAAATATAAGATCAATTCCATACTAAATGTCCAAATATAAGACCAATCCCATACTAAATGTCCAAATATAGGACCAATGCCATACCAAATGTCCAGATATAAGATCAATGCCATACCAAATAACAAGACCCAAAGAACAAGGCAAATATTTGAGGAAAATGATCCAAAAAAACTCAAATTAAGGATATGTGTTACTAAATATATATACAGTGAACCCCTGGCAAGTTTCACCTCAAGAATTGATTCATCTCAAGCTGTTATATAGACAGTATCAATGATTATATGTACCAGTACTTTTACATACATTAACACACTTTTTAGTCCCAGATGGCCCTTGGGTAAATACATAGAAAAATCTAGAAACTAAGGAATGTGCCATTTGATATTGGTTTACCTTGAACCTAAGATATTTTTTTCGAAACAAATGCACTGGTCCTCACCTAGTTACCCTGACGATACATCAGTGTATCATGGCGGAACAACTTCCGGAATTTGAATTTGGTACAATATTTTTATTTCTCAACCTTTTTGACCCATAATATGTTTTGTTTTCTCTAAAGTCCACGATACTTATTTTTGGACCTGCAAATTGAGAGGGAAGTATAATACTGAACATTTTTCCATACCCTTGTACCAATTTTGCAATGTGGGCACATTTTCTGATTAATTAGTCAAAATGAGGTCCAAGTCAAAATTGAGTTTTCAAAACTTCCAGATATGAGATTGATTTTATTTATCCTGAAATGCCAATATAATTTTTTACAATATTCAGTTCCATTTTTCAGAAAAAGTTTTAAAGGTTTAAATAATGGTTCACCCCAAGCTGACTTCAAGGCCTTCAAGAATAATTATAACGTGGAATAACATGTGATGTTGATCGGACTAGAATGACTACAGAGATAAGAACATTCCAAATAATTTAATATACTGCAACACATATGACCTTAACTTCCTCATGGCACTTCCTAATCTATAGCCTAATGGTGATGTAATAATTACTGCAACAATATGGATTCATTGTTAAACATGGCAATACAATAAAATATCCTCTCGAAACAAACATGATGAAACTGTGTTTAAATATTACCACTACATGTGTACTTTAGTGACTTTAAGGTTAAATTCACATTTTAACTGTGAATTACATGCAGTGGGAAATCGTAATTATACATGTACCGTAAAAATACAGTAGACCAGATACGTGGAAATGCATAAAATGCTTTAAACCATTATCACTTAATACTGTACAGTTATACATACTGGTATGAGAAGTATCCAGCAAAATAATAATACCTATACTGATATCAAGTAATAAATTTTTCCTGTGTTTACTGCATAATAATTGATGAGATCAGATCATGTGTACTCAGAAGTTTTTGTTTCACCATTTATACAAATCAAATGATTTATTAATACCTATCAATAATTCCATATAGAATAAAGTGCCTTGTAACAGTATTCCTGGTGAATGATTTATCACTGCAATTAATTCTTTTCGTGGATTGGGAGTGTTCTATAATTGAGTTTGAAAGTAGAACATGGAAGGATACATTGATATTCCAGTGAGAAATTGATACAAGCTCAGGGACTTCAGAATCATAACCCTCCTAACCTCATTCTAATTTGTCAGAGTCTCTCTTTATATAACCTTTTATTCCAAGGATAGAACAGACTGTAGATCCAACTATGTACTAACCCCTTTCTTCAACTGTTATCAAATAATGTATAACAGTCTTCTACAAATAAAACACATAATCACGAGTACAATTTGCTGTTAAGTGAAAATTGTCATATTATGATAAATGAGGTGAAAATTGTGTAATATCATGAATGAGGTGAAAATTGTGTAATATCATGAATGAGGTGAAAATTGTGTAATATATCATGAATGAGTAATTGTGAAGTGATAGGCTTTCAACAAGTAATTTCTTGCAATAAGACAGGTTAAGCTACAAATCAATATACCAGTACAAACAGTGAACCTGAAAGTGTGTGTTCATGCTCACGTGTCCCTTTAAGTTCTCTGTTATTAGAACACGTGTGTAAGCCAGAGTACATAAATATTGAATAAAGTTGCTGATTTAACCTACATAATGGCTTAGTCACTGGTACTCACCTAGTTACACTGACATATCGTCAAGCTTGAAGATATTTTTATTTCTCGATTCTATACCACTTATATGTCAAGTTGTGGACAATAATTTGACTCAAAGTTAAGGATGATAGTCTAGCTTGTGAATATGCAGGCGGTTCTTATTTGGTACATTAACGAAGACACAATTTACATATTTAGTCCCTCGCTTTTGTTACGTTGACGATCTTCATGCATATTGCCAATGTTATTATCCACAACTTAACTTATGAGTGATGATGAATCAAGAAATAAAAATATCTAACCAGAAAACGAAGCCCTGAAGTTCTTTCATCTTGTTATGCTGATGTATCGTCAGCGTAACTAGGTGAGTAGCAGTGTTAGTGCACAATGAGGTATGTGCACTTAATTCTCTACAAATAAATCCCTGTACATTTTACGCTGATTTTTATTGTATAAGGTAGACTAATCTGATGCCATTGGTCTGTGTGTGCATTGAACTTCAGGTTCATGCTCTGCTGAATAGCTGTAGCTTAACCTCATTATTAAGAGTTTTTTTTATAATTTGACACATATAAGAGCTATAAATCATCATACACTTGAGAGCGAGAGAACACAATGTTAAGATGTTCATGAAAATTGTTACATTTTCTCCAATGTTTACAGGATCTAATATAATTCTAAATTCTATCACCATTTTTAAAATTGAATTGAAGCCCAAAAATGAAAATAGCAAATATGATGAGAAACATTGATTAATTTCCTAAATGAAGTGAATTAAATTTTCATCAGAGCAATATTTAGATGTTACCCAATTCAACAGGAAGTATAAAAAACTAATTTGCGGTTTACTGTCTATACAAGTCTTCAAGCCATTGACAGCTGTCAGAGGAATATCCAGCTTCACTCTGGTTGACTGATATCAGGCCCGTAGCCAGGATTTGTCAAGGGGGGGTTCAGTTTTCAAAAATGTCCAGGGGGGGTCACATTTGACAATTTTGGCCCAAATATGACTAAAATCACTTGAGAAGTGCTCAAAATGGTGAAAAACTGCATGATTTTGAAAGAATTTTTGGCCAGGGGGGGGTTCGCCCGAACCCTGCAAACCCCCCCCCCCCTGGCTACGGGCCTGCTGATATTAATGATTTATGACCCACAAATGACTTGCAAAACAAACAGTAGACTACAGTATTCCAGTGGGTGAAAATGATCTAGGGTACATGAGAAACCCTTGGAATTTGTATTTTATACCATTGGAAAGAACATATATTCTATCACACTGCATTCTGGGTTCACTTCATAAAAGCAGGTATACAGTTTCATTGCACATTTAAAACTCATCTTGGAGTTAATTCATATCATTCTTGTGCCTGCTAATTATCCTCTCTGATGTTGATTATTTTGTGATGCCGTGTCTCTGATGTCACTGTCTTGGTTATTAAATGATTGTGATGTCATCTCACTGATACTGGCGCCTCACAGAGAACAATCGGTAAATTACAGTTCAGTCGTGGAATAGCCAATTCAATTTCACCCTGAAAAAATAAAATTTTATTCCTTTTAGAGAATTTCTACGACAGGGCTACATTTTAAACAGTTGGAAGTTTGTCTTAACTTTTTGAATTCCTGCGACTATCATGGAGTTATGATATAGTAAATCTACGAAATTTCTGGAAACCATCCTCTAATCCAAATCTATATGTTGTATTTTCCCTGATTGGGATATGGTATCTACCAAGATTTATGGTCCCTTAAGACAGAAATTATAATTTTTGTCAAGTACATTGGCCTATTTTACAGGCTAAGGTGATACAGGAGTAGCATGTATTTTTCTAGGGCATGAGGTCCCAAGTTAAATTTCCAGTGCAAAAGAAAAGCAGCTTAAAGGAAGATGACAGGATAGAGACAAATTGAGACTGTTTCGAATTTTCTGACTTTATCTCAGGAGAATCCATTGCTTAAAGTTTGGCTTCATGGTTCTGGAAAAGATGACATCGCATTCTTCAATTATAATGAATTTTGACATTTCTGCAGTTCTACAATCTTCAATTATTTTTACATTTGATCTTTATTTTCAGAAAATAAAACCAGGATTGCTCTGCAAGAGAAACACTCAGGCTTGCTTTTTGAATGACTGATATAACACTCTCCCTTCCTTTTACAGGGTGTCCAAAACAGGACCAAAGATCAGTCAATCTAGTATATTCTGAAATTTCAGAATTATTTAGTTTATTCAATGGAAACTTTGGTGGAAAATGTAAGGTTTTGTCATTTTTGACTCAATAGTAAGATTATCATCAAACTTTCACAAAAAGTAACATTGAATGAACTAAACAATTTTGAAATTGCAAGGCAGAATATGCAAGATTGACCAAGTTAACTTTTACTTTGGTCCTGGCTTTTTGGACACTCTGTAGTTCCTTTGACAGAGGGTTTTGTTATATCTGTACTGATCTACATCCAATGGGATAATGAAATTATCAAGGTTAAGGTCCCAAATTCTAATTTTAAAGATTTTTTTATTTTTTTATTTCATCAGTATCATTACATATTCATATTACATAATATATATATCGTAAATCAATATCAATCATACGATCACTATAACAATTTTACAATATTATAAGTTTCTTAGTCTCATTTCATGTTCCAACATACATTCAACATTATAACTATATAGACCACATTTGTATTTGCTAATCACATGTTTTCCAACCATTAACATAAGATTAATTTTCCTTTCAACCCTTTTGTCCTCGTCCTTATATCCAAAAATAATATTGTGCTTAAATTCTATCTTTCTTTTCAATTTGAGGAACCATGTGTTATCTATTATTTCCCAGACTCGTTTTATTTTTCTACATTCTATAAAGAAATGCTCATATGTGTCCTTACATGCACAGAAATTACAAAGTTCATCATTTTTTATTTTCATTTTGAATAGCAAAACTTTGGTTGGATATATTCTGTGCATTATTTTAAATTGAAGTGATTTTAACATTGGTTCTTTAATATTTTTAAAACATACATTAAATTGAGAACTTATGTTAAATTCAAAAATGTCTTTGAAAGAGAGAGTTATTTAAATATCCAAAATAAAAATTACAGGCAAGCAATTTGTAGATTTAGGCTTATTCCCACAAGTTACATACATGTATAGAACTTGGTCGTCATTTGAAGCCTAAGCCAAAACCTGTCAATGAACATTTATGTAATATTTGTGGTATTTTAGAAGATGAGCAACACTTCATCATGAAGGCAATTCACACATACACCCATTACATGACACAATGCAATAATTTTGTAAATTCCTCTTAAGTAGAGGTCATATGACCATTGCCTCTACAATTAAGACCAAATCTGATAAACATGTATATGTGCCATCAGAATACTAGTAAATATACAGTATTTCTCAAAAATGGTTGCCATTTTGAATTCAGTAGCCACCTTCTAAATTCCTTCTTGAGCAAGAGTTCTTGGCATTATATTAGCACATAAAATCTGAACCAAATTTAAGAACTGGTATAAATTTTAGATATCCAAAATTCTATTTTCATGAAAAGTGGTGGCCATTATTAATTCAGCAGCCTTAAAAGAAATTTGTACTAGAACAGAGCAGGCCTGTCAACTTGGGAACACCTAACATGAGTGACTTGGAAATGTTGAACACCTCCCCTCAAAATGTGGACACCTTGGTCCAAATCTGAACACCTTAATCCAAATTTTGAACACCTTGGTTTGAATTTTATTACATCTTGCCAAATTTTCATGAAAAATGCTTCAAATCTGACAGCAATCTTGAAAATACCTGATGAAGAAAATTGGCAGCCAGCTTAAATTAAATGGCCATTAGCCTATAAAATGTAGACCAAATTCGATGACCAGGATCTTAGTGATCAAAAAGAAATTTGTGAAAAATTGTGGCCATTTTGAATTCGGTGGCCATCTTGAAAATACATTCTTAAATAGAGCTCTTTTGTTTAACCTAATCTGTAGACCAGTAATTGAGTTATCGCTAAGGCAGATGAACAGATGGACTGATGAACAGACAGACAGCTTCTCTTTATCCATACCAAAATAGTCTTAAACTTCATTTGGTATGATAACAAGCGCTTGAAAGAATAGCCTTTCATTCTTTCATACTTTGTTACTGGTTACCCTACTATCACACCAAACTAGTTCTCACTGCGTTCCCGAAAACGGGCTTCAACTGTATACGAACGGACTAGACCTACTAAGAACCGTTTGGGATCTATTTACAAACTTCATTGAACGTACTCGAACGGGTAGGTCCTCTAGAACTTAGACAATGCTCAAAATGTTCTCGTGGTCGTCACGTTCTACAATTAGAACGAGTGACAACGTACTAACGACGAGCTGGACGTACTACGAACGGAACCGTCGTACTTCAATCCTACTAGGGACGTTTTAACAACGAGTTGAACTGTCTGCGGACGTGTTGGGAACGAGGTAGAACTAATTGCAAACGGTTTAAACTGATTAAGAACGTATTTAACACTGCTTATGAACGAGTTAGCAAAAATATAGCTCTCACACCAAACAAGTTGCCACTGCGTTCTTCAAAACTGGTCTTAAACTGTGTGCGAATGGAATGAACGTAGCTGCAACTTTCTAAGGTCTATTTACAAACTTTATGAACGTTCTCAGACGGGAATGTGATTTTAGAATTTGACCATGTTGACCTTCTAGACTAAGCGTTCTACCACGTTGCACTCCGACGTGGTGCGACCTGAACGAACTGCGAACGAGATGGACGTATTGAAGACTGTTTAAGAACGAAGAAGCTAATTATTTCAGACATATTTCCCGACCACAGCCAGATTGAGCCCGTTTGACGACGTTTTCGTAGGACTGGCAAGAACGGGTAAGAACTAGTTTGGTGTGATAGGGGGGTTACCATTTCAATATTATGATGTTAACATACATGGCTTGACACATGAATGACACCTCTTATAATTGTCTACTTATACGATCTTTTGTAATTATGATCTACAAGTGTATGTCAAACGAGCAGACTACTTATCAGTTAATTAAAGATAAGATCAGCTTGAAAGCACCAGTATTCACATGTATCCAGTCACATCCACCAGTTTTTTCTCAACAGATTTTAGATTTTCTAGTCATTCTGTTATTTTCCTTGGCCAATATCATATTTTCCCTCGGAATAAAATTCATATTCCATCCCTCCCATTAAATAACCTCTAATTACTGGGAATATTTTCCACTGTACTATAACGGGCACTTTGGTAATTCTGCTGATCACTTTTCAATTCAAATTTGTACAGGTTTCAAATTTGGGGCATCTTGGATGTTAGGTGGCTTTTTTCGATTTTTTGATAATCTAGTCATCGTGATTTTCACAGCTTGCACATCGAGTTCCCACATCGCAAGCCATGTGACTTGTGTGATTTGTGATGTGGGAACTCAGTGTGTGAATGGAAAAGTTTGGTTTGATCCAACTGGTGGTTCGCGACTGAAGAAACAATATTCGTGTTGTGAGAATATGGTTCAGGAAGGAACGAGGATAGCAAGGATGGAAATGATGACTGCCTGAGTGGAAGTGTAGGAGGCCTGAACAACAATTTACAATGTGAAGAGAGCAGAGACAAGTTGAGAGCAACTTTCGAAAAATTTGTTACAACTTAAAATGATTTATAGAGTAATGAAAACACAGAATGAACTCCTCTGCAAAGGGCTGATGTGAAAAAGTCAGTCCAACCCAGTGGGGATCCAACCCACGACCCCTCACTTTCCGGGTGCTTGCTCTACTACTGACGCTAATATAAGAACAGACTGGCTTTTCTACATCAACATTACATATATAGCATTGCAGGCTTGCAGCCATGTCTTAGATGCCCAGTTTCCTGGACCCCATATATGTTACCCATCTTTCCAGGTTGTCGATCATTCTATTCATGATGAGTAAATATTTGAAATGATATCACATACCTCTGGGATAAGATTGTGTTTTTTCTTTTTCATTCTGTATCGTCTTGACCTTCTATCCAACACTTCTTCATAGAATTCATGAGCCAAATCACCATCTTCATCAAAATACATGGAGCTAAAATTAAAAGTAAATGAGCCAAATCACCATCTTCATCAAAATACATGGAGTTAAAATTAAATGTATTATTTACAGGGTATCTCAATTGGTGATCTCCATGATACAGCATGATGACTCGGTGTAATTCAATTGGTTTCATGAATGTGGAAGTTCAAAATGGGGGAACAGGAGTAATAAGTTTGACATTATACTCAGAATAAAAATGAGTAAAACATATGGCATAACAGATATATATCTATCAAAATGATATAAGCAACAATTTTAGGTTGAGCATTGGAATATGTTACAGTTTGTATTAGCAAATTTCTTCAAAATACCATCAAAAGATTATCTAACTATTGGTATTTACTGTTTACTGTAGTAGGTCAAATATTCAGATTGGACAATAAATAAATGAGTTGCAGATGTGAGGATTTTCCATGTAAAAAATAAGAGAATTTCAAGAGGCCATATATCAGTGGATGAAAATATACAAAATGTAAAACATACACAATACACTCTAGGGGATATGTATCTTGATATTATAAGAAACTATGTGCTTTCAAACCACCATAGTCTATGGTTTGGAAATGGTGATAGAAATTCAACTACTCATTTATTTACATGTATGGTCCAAACTGTAAACGAAAATAAAACAGTCATTTGGGGCTAATGGCAGTTTAGGGTAAGTCTTCTGCATATGTTTCCTTTTGCAATATGGTTCTTTGATGGCTTATTTTTTAGATTCAAAGTTGTCAATGAAATTACGAATCTGACTGTATAGTCTGTTGAACTTAAAAAAAAGAAATCTAAAGACCATTGTGCAATAATATTTAGAAAAAAATATTGATACTAAACATGAATGACATTTGTATTTATCCCGTTCCCGGACTATGGTCCTGTGAACATCTCAATCTTTTGCCTGTGCGATTACAACATGGGAGAATTTTTTACTGATCTTACACTTCAGATACCTACTTCAATAGATTCCTTGGTAATTTAGCATTCTTTTCGTGTAGTTGAATCCACAATTGTCTGGGTTTATCGGCAGAACGAAGACATTTTCGTTTTTGATCGCAATATTTGCGTGTAACATTTAACTTATTTCAACCGTCAAATTCCTCCATATTGGTACTTCCGGGCTACATCCGGGACAGCCAAACGGGGGATTCCCCTTTTAAATCCAACCGCCATTTTGAAAAGTGATGGAATCTCTCTCGATGAAAAAGAGAAAATGTTCCTGTTCTGCCGATATACCCAGACAATCGGCGGTTCCTATATATTAGAAGTTACATCTTGAGTTCTATAATGCATTGAGGTAGGTATCTTAAGTGTAAGGGGCGTAGATAATTGTCCCAAGTTGTAATCGTACAGGCAAATGAATGCGATCAGTGCAGGACTATAGTCCGGGAACGGGATAAATTTGTATATTTCAGATCATTTAGTTTTTTGTGCAATAAGCCTGTACCCTCCTGTAATTTGAGGTTTCTCAGCCATGTTATATTTGCAGAATAACATGGCAGAAAAGCATCAAAATATAATACATGTAGGTTACAGATTTCATATGCCAATTAACAAGTAATCCAAGATTTACAAAGTCATTCATGTGTAATATGAATATGTTTTCCCATTTATTGTTGCACAATAGTCTTTAGTTTTCTTTAGATGGCACTTCATGCTCAACACTGTGAGGTATACAGGCAAGATTGGTGTACCTAGACCAAGTGTTCTTCCGACTAGTGTTGTCGCGATGTGCCATAATCGTACATCGGCAATTTTCAGTAGTAAACATCGATGCACATCGCGATGTACATCAAGAAAAAGTCTGAGAAAAGTGCTCTGAAATACCGAACGCTAATGCACTAAAATACCGAACATCCGGTTCATCCGGGAACTTCTAGTAACGGTGAAATGAAAGTAAAGTAATTTTTTTAGATTAATGTTTCATTTCGACTAGCTAAAACAGTTTTAAAGCGAAAGAATATCAGAAAACATTGGAAAATGAAATAAGACATGAGAAAGGTAAGCGATTTGCGTCAAAATAAGATAAGGGTGATTTTTAGCGAATTATTTTTTTTTAAAACATCGATGTTTTGTTTCAGACATCGATGCATCGCCAGAATCAGCTTTGGCGATATACGATGTATCGATAATCGCGACAACGCTACTTCCGACCATACAGGAAAAATACTAATCAAGGATACCATATGGCTATAGGGTCAAATTTCTTACCCACAGGAACTTGTATCGCTATCAAGTCCTTTATGACGCTCCTCTATGATGTTCTCTGGATGTCCTAACACTCGATACATCATTCATGTCATGAGTGTGAGGACCCCAAAGGTACCACATATGGATTACCAATAAGGACTTGATAAAATTTCCTGAGTTATTACCTGGTCCGTTTATACACAAATGGTGTCGCAGTCCCATATCTCGAAAGAACCAATTCAGGACTTGTCTCCCCGGTATTATATCCAAACATATTGGATATTGGGGACACCATCTTTTTCACCATGCTGGATCCGCTCTGCCCCATGCTATTTTACCATAATAATAGACCCTTAATCGTGTAAAAACGAAGTAAATGAGGGCATTTTTAAAAAGTCAAAAAATTTTCAATAATTAATCTATTATCGCCCAAGGAGCATAAAGTAAAGGGAGCATAATTATTTTATTTCCACTTCTTCCCGGGGAATTTACTGATCGCCATCTCGGCCAATGTCATAGGCCAAGGGTAAAGTAATAGTAAGCCGTATATAGAAGAGACAGGTGAACAACTCTGACTTAGACCACTTGTTAAGATGGAGATTTCAACAATATTTAGTGTATTATTTTCAAAAAGCCATGGGGAGTTGATAGAAAATTGATAGTTTGTAGCTCTTACCTAAAATTGAAACTCAGTCAGATGATATAGAGTGAATAATGCTGAGAATGAGAGAGAATTTCTGAAAACCTGCAATTGCTTGGCAAGTTCATTAGTAAACAAGTGATCTGATTGGTCACTGCTGACCTCCACCAGTGACAATCAGTTTCAGCTTGCCAGGCAATTGCAGATACCCATAGTTGTTGTTTTATATGCAGTATTATATGCAGTTTTTAGATAAAGATTTGAAAAAACAATGATATAAGTTTGAAAAACACTTTGAAGAAGATTTTGGAGAGATTTGGGAATACAATTTGATACCAGTAAGGAGAATTATTGCCAAGACTAAAAAAAATTGAAAAATTTTCAATCTTACTTGTGGACCTGTCTCTTCTATATACAGCTAACTATTACTTTTCCCTTGGCCTATGGCAGGCCCGTAAGACACTTTTCTCCAAGGGGGGTGCGGTTTTTATTAGCTTACTAAAGAGAATATAAAATTGTCATTTTTTGCCGCGTAAATCAAATCGCGTAAGACAGGGGGTGGGGGGTCAGTTACTCCCTATATTGGTTTGGAATTAACAAATGCATGCAACTTCCTATTGTTCCAATTGTTTTGTGGGGGGTGTGAGGAGTGGTCCACTCCCCCTAGAAAATTTTACAGTTTTGAGATGCTATTTGGTGCTTTCTGGGCACTTTCAAAGTGTAAGTTTCTAAGTAGTAAGCCACCGCCACAGGAATAAGAGTTGAGTGAATACAAAACCAAGCATTCAGGGGGTCTGGGGAAAATTTTGAAATTTGGTTGTATTTGGAGCGAATTTGCAACCATCTGGTACGCCTGTGCGTTATGAGTCAATAAGAAAAATGTGAATTTTTTTCAAATTATTTTGGGGATGTCAAAGAGGATGCTGAGAGGGTGAAGTGGGGTGGGGTGCCAGTAGGGGAGCAAGGGGTTGTCCCCCAGAAACATTGACCATATCAAGGTGCTATTTGATGATGTCTGGGCACTTACAAAATGTCTGAGACAATACATGAAATTAAGAATATTTTCTTTTGTTTTGTGGGGGATGTGAGGGGTGGCTAACTCTCCTAGAAAATTTTACAATTTAAAGATGATATTTGGTGCTTCTGAGCACTTTTAAAGTGTATTAGTCAATAAAAACATTTTAAAACAATCACAATTTTTTTTAAATTTTGAGGGTGTCAAAGGGGGGGGGAGGGGTGCCAGAGGGGGAGGTGGGGCTGGGGTGCCAGAGGGAGAGCAAGTGTTTGTCCCCCATATCAAAATTTACAATATCAAGGTGCTATTCGATGAAGTTTGGGCACTTTAAAAGTGTCTGTGCCTATTTCCCAAGAAAATTTTACAATTTTAAGATGCTATTTGGTGCTTTCTGGGCACTTTCAAAGGGTATGAGTCAATAAAAAAATTTCAAAAAAATAATCTTTTTTTTTGGGGGGGGGTGTTAAGGGAGGGGGGCTGCCAGAGGGGGAGGTGGAGTGGGGATTCCAGAGGGCAAGTAAGTGTAAGTCTCAGAATCCAGAATCATTAACTTTATCAAGGAGCTATTTGATGATGTCTGGGCAATTTAGAAGTGTGTGGCCCACTCCCCTAGAAAATTTTACAATTTTACGACGCTATTTGGTGCTTTCTGGACACTTTCAAAGTGTATGAGTCAATGAAAAAAAATTACAAAAAAACTTTTTTTTGGGGGGGGGTCAAGGGGGGGGGCGCCAGAGGGGGGGGTTATGCAAGTGCAAGATGCAAGAGAGTAAGTCCCCCAGAAACACTAACTATATCAAGGAACTATTTGATGATCTGGGCACTTTAAAAGTGTCTGAGACAAAACTCTAAAATAAATTTAGAACTTTTCCATTGTTTTGTGGGGGGGTGTGAGGGGTGGCCAATACCCCTAGAAAAATTTACAATTTTAAGATGCTATTTGGTGCTTTCTGGGTACTTTCAAAGTGTATGAGTCAATGAAAAAAAATTATAAATTTTTTTTACAATTTATTTTTTCAAATTTATTTTGGGGGGTGACAAAGGGGGGTGCGGTCGCACCCATCGCACCCCCCCATCTGACGGCCCTGTATGGTCATACTTTTCTTTTGTTAATTTAGATTTTATTTATTCAGGGATATCTAATAAGAAAACATATATTTTCTTGTTACCATTAGAACCCTGTAGACGCACATATACACTCATGACAAGTTGACAACAAATATCAGAAAATCAGAAAAGACAAGTCTCGGTTTGGAGAATAGGCTTATACCGTGACGGCTTAGTACTGTTTTGACTAGGGTATAAAATAAGCATTTAAAGTCAATTTACTGTCATATGTTACATTAATTTGTTAATTAGAGCATTTAAAAATGTATAATTACAGCTTGTCACGAACTGAAGCAATAAATTGATTTTTTAGATGAGCTTCAAGACTTTAAAAGATTGCCATGTGGCAGATTCGAGGGTGCCTTGTTCCAGAGAACAGCTCTATAGTTTGTGTGCCTGCATTATTACAATTTTGTTTAATAAAAATACATTTGTTTGTAGTAGCACGAGTACCATAGTGATGGGTGTCCTTAGTAAAGGTAAAACTGTCCTGCAAGTGGGAACCAGTCCAAAGCCTTACATTAGTGTCGCTGAGCGGGTTATGCATGTCATGCCTCTCCCTAATACCTCGGTCACATTTGCTCCGATTTTCACTACGGCGCCCGGCCGATTGAGTAGGCCTATTTAATTTGTTCAAAATTGAATACAATATTGAACAAAAGACTCAATCGGCCGGACGCCGGCCGATGGATCGGAGCATATGTGACCAAAGTATTATGGAAGGCCACTTCAGCGTATTTCTAACATCCTAGGATTATGGTGTGCGTGCGTGGGACACATTTAACTATCAACCTACCAGCACGGTTTTGGAAACTCTGAATTTTATCTAAGAGTTGTGCTCTGTACCCAGAAATGACAGCATCACCATAATCAAAAATTGGTGTGATCATGGTAGAACGTCGTAAAATTTACTTTTAACGCCGTCAACAACGATTTTATACTCCGTTAAGAATTACTTTGTATTCCGTCAAAGACTTTATACACATTTATTTGTACTACCGCACTTGTACGGCTCAAGAATTTTCGGAACGGCTTCAAAACTGATTTTGACGAGAGGTGTCAAAAACCAATTTAGAGCTTAAAATGATTTTGTACGGCGTTAAAAATCATTTTGAACGGCGTCAAAAACTATTTTGAACGGCGTCAAAAATTATTTGCATTTTGCAAATTATCTGAGGTAGTAAGAACTAAGTATCATCATGTTCTCCATTCGGTTCATCAATCCAACAGCCTGTAGTTTCGAGAACGGGTTAACAAAAGATTTGGCTAAAACTTGAAGGGAGAGTCCGGGGACTGAAAAAACAATCGTTTGTGACATTCCTGGTGCCACTTAGAATTTCCGAAAAAGCCAATATCAACAATATTAAAATGTTTATAATGTGTGTATATTTCTAAGAAATGCGGGTGTGTAAAGGGTGGGCCAAAAAGGGCAATCCGAACAAATGTTAATCTTACTCAGTCATTCAGCATGGATTTTAAGTCATATTTAGCAAAATTGACCCTTGTGTAATGTTCTATCAAGTTCCATTCGGTTACAATATTTTATGGCCATTTTACACAACATGCTAGGACTGCAAAATGTCGGCGTCGAGTCGGGAGGCAAACTTGAACGTATTGGGTGAAGTTGTTCACTACACGAGCACAGGCATTAATTAAGGCATTTTGTGTAATTTTGGGCTCTCATCTTACTTCTTATCTCTTGTTTCAATAATTCAACGGCTGTTAAATGTAGGCATTAGCCCAAAAAATTAAAAACTGGGAGGTTTCATGACTTCATGTCCGGTGTTACACCGGGGTGTTGCATCATTGCCATGAGTTGTACTCGTCCTAATCAGAAGCAATGTATTTTACATTTTACCATGACTCTAAAACAACATAATAACTTGAAGAGTTGAGCAAACTTGGGTCAAAAGACTGAAGCTATTGTCCTTAGTTTTGAACATTGCATAATGGAAAGCAGAACGTGCCAGGAATAAGGATCTGATAAGATTACAGAGCTCTGATGGTACAAACTGTTGTTTGATAAACTCTTTCATCCCCAAGCGGTCATTTTGAACGAAATCACAATGAATTCCAAAATGTATCCAGACAATAATAACAAGACAAAATATAGCTTGCAACTTTAGAAAATATTTATACTACATTATATTTTTTATCAAAAACTCACAAAATAATGTCATTAATTGCTACGGGGAATTTAGAAATATTGGATCAATGATGGAATATGTAAGACTTGGAGAGTCAAAGTCAGCAGGTCAGTGTGTATCTGAACATGTCTCTACTGATATGTAACATGGCACTAACAAATCAGAGACTCACCTGATTTGAATCCCAAGTGAGACCTCGAATGTCCTGTCATATAATTGTCATATTAAGGGGACTTAGCAGAGCGTCATCTCAAAAATATTAATAAGACCTTCTTTTGTGTTTTAATGCTAGTATTGAAGAAAGAAGAAATTTAAAAGTGCCCAAGAAATATTTAAATGTTATCGAAACATATGCGAATATCTACAGGGTGGCTCAAAAACACCCATATTTTTAGTTTGCTATAACCTTTTTGAAAATGCATGTATTTCAATAAAATTTTGCCAGGATATGCAGAAATCAATTCGAAGGAACATTCCTGAAGTGGGATTAATAAATCTCTTGGGGTCCTTGAATAATAAAGATAAACAGACACCAGGGGTCTATTTGAAATGATTTGTATTATGATTTCTGGATATCCTGCCAAAATTTAATTGAAATATCAAAATGAATAATATGGACGTATTGGCTCACGTAAAGTGATCAACGCAGACATAAATCACAGTTGTTTTTATAATTGAAATCTACACGCAGATTATAATTTGGCTCAAATAATATGGTTAGAACTTAAAAGAACACGCAATTTGGAAATTTTGATTCTAAGAAAGCTCCAATTATACAATTAGTCACTTGCCTTTGTTACATTGACATTCGTCAAAGTCAAAGTGAATTTGCATTGCGTTTCCATTTAATATTTTAAATGATTCTACAAGCTGCATAACATTAATAATTATTTTTGAGTGACGTTGTCAAGCCTGACACTGCACTGATATATATTGTTTATTGTTTATATCGCAACCCAAAAAGGTGTATATTAAAGGTTAACTCTGTTATCTCAAAATCTGCTTGGAACTGTACCATTGGATTTCTATGGGAAATTCCTCAAAGAGAAAATTCTAGGGATTGAGGAATGGGTACCACACAATTTGAGAAAATATTGGCATACATGAGACCTTTTTAAAACATCATTTATATTATTCAAAAGCGAATAGGATCAATGATTCCCAGTCCTTTGAAGTTTGAAAATGAAAATACCTGGAGAATCAATAGATAATTCTTGAAAATGAGAAATATTTTTTTTGGCATATCAATGAAATTCATTCGGATTACCTGTTCATCTGTCAAATGTAGATTATACGTGTAACATTTAATTCTCAAAAGACATTTGACTGACAATAGTCTGAATAAAATTAAAAATCATAAAGCCATTTTCCAATTGCATCATTTTGATTCATGTCTTTGATTCTCTTTGAAGTTTCGCTTTATTAAGTTGATCTTGGTTTGTGGAAAGTTTATTGCGTAAATTTCAAGCGCAATCTTCTAATTATGGTCCTTGTCATTAAAGGATTAATATCTGTATGGGATTTCAAACAAATGATGAAATATCGAAATAAATGAAGATTTATGATGCAGACATGTCCAATTTTGCAACTGAAAAGAAAGGCGTGTACTTTAAATAAAAAAATTGATAAATTAACCTCATAAATCAAAGAATAAGGTTGTTCCTGAAAAATGAATATGAATCACAGCTGTTTCCTGTCGGATAGACAGAAGTTATGAATGGAGTCAGGCTTTGTGATAACAGTAGTGAATTACATAATATATTATATACAGCTTTTTAATAATTTATTCAAACAACATAAATCAACGTTATTACAAAAAGCAATAATAACCCGATAACACACGATAAACGTCATCCTTGTTCTAAAGGTATTTTTTAAGTCAAAAGTTTTATTCCAACCGTTATACATAAAAACATTCAATGATCACAATGTGACGCAAAGTTATTTCTCTCTATGAATTGAATGAGCAATAAAACCTTTTAATCAAAGATGTGTTAACCACATGATATCTTGAAACTTCATAACAAGTCGTTACTGCAGGTAAGTTCTGGAAATTCACGTAATTTTCACGTAATGATAAAGTGGTCATGAAAATGGTGTACTAACAAAACAGAACATACAATACCAATTCAAGTTTCATTAGAAAATCACAAAACCACCACCCGGTGATTTGTTACATACTATGTGGTTTTGTGAGTTTCTGATTATTGTAGGCAACTGTTGCACTGGTGATCCACTCGATTACGCTGGTTACCAAAACGGTTCGTTTTGGTAACAAAATGTCGGAACATCGAAGGTTCGATTTTTTTCCTTATTTCACACGTTGTAGGCAGAATTCCCACGACATTTTTAACACAAAAGTGTATCAGTATCATATGCTTAAGAAAATGTAAATATTTGCGAACAAATAGTTCAGAAGACAACAGAATCGTCGATTTAATTACTCACTTAAGTTACATAAACGGTTTTTCGAAAAACGGTTAAGATCTGCACTTTTAACCCAAACCGTTTATGTAACTTAAGTGACGAATTAAATCGACGATTCTGTTGTCTTTTGAGCTATTTTTTCGCAAACATGTACATTTTCTATAACATATGATACTGATATACGTTTGTGAGAAAAACGTCGTGGGGATTCTGCCTACAACGCGTGATATAAGGAAAAAAGAAAAATCGTACCTTCGACGTTCCGACATCTTGTTACCAAAACGGTTCGTTTTGTTAACCAGCGTAATCGAGTGGATCACCAGTGTGTTGGTGGCTACTGTGATGCCACAGTTAAATACCCAGAACCATGACAGCTGTATCAACTTGTCTAGATCTCCAACACTTGGAAGCCTCTGGGTCATTCACCACCCCACATCATACACCTACTTTCCATCACCCATTTTCTTCCTACCTGCCGCCATTTTTCTAATGTTATTCAATCTCATGTCGTTCCTTTCTTGCTACCTTAATCCTCTTAAGTTGCCCACTCTCTATTTTTATTTTCCAATCTCATTTACCCTTTGTCTTTCCACGGAGTACACTCCATAATTTCATTGTTCATATTCCACCTTACAAAAATATTTACAATTTCCAGTCTATATAAAATAAAACAATCTTTTCATCTTTTAAAACAAATTATTACATATTTTAATATTAGAGATGTAATTACCTTACAGATGAATATGATTTTTCCATCTCTATACTTAATGAAACAACTATCTTCTGTATATTACCCTATAGTATAGGGTAATATAATATATAGGTGTTTCCTACCTACGTTCTGTATATTACCCTTTAGTATAGGGTAATTACCCTATAGTATAGGGTAATATACAGAAGTTAGGTAAATCATTAAATCAGCCACTTCATTCACATTCTATATTTTACAACATCATGTGACATGAATTGTTATTTCGGCTCTGTCATAGAATCAGCGATATTGATTATCGATCATTATTTCTGTCATTTTCTGAGTGAGAACTTTTGCTTTTGTATCAGTTTATCTATTTGGAACTTGGCCAGATGTCAGAATAGGATGACCTGCATTCTTTTTACGGTACGGATAAACTAGGAGTATTAAGTTTAATGAGAAATAAAAGCCAAGGGCCTTGATCCGAGGCTATTAATTCTCATAAGACCCATTACGAATGGTTTATCTATTAAACCCCACACAGACTCTTATGAAAGGTAAATGGCCCATGATCCAGCCCATGAAACTTTGATTTCTGTTGTATTACTATGAGGTAAGAGTGTTGAGAAGTGAGTGGGTATAATTCGTTCAGCACTGCATGTCAAGCCAACTTCAGAGTCGTATCTTGTATTGTGAGCATTATGGTCATGAACTTTTTAGGCCCATTTATATCCTAGACAAGTGTTTACTTTGAAGATTAGTCAATTTGAACCCTGTAATAAGTGAGGGGCAATCATCCCATCGACAAACCTATTCTAACATGTAAACCTATTTTTCTCAATAACATCAACTATGAAGGCACATTGAAGAACGATATACTAGTAAACAGTTCCATTGTTTAATAGAACTCCATCATGGCGAAAGTATCTCGTTCGGTAGTTGGACTTCGCCTACGCCGAATCGTTGAGTCCATACGCTTTGACCAAATGAACTTGTATTTCGTAAACAATCCTTTCAGGGAATATCGGAACCTTGTAGAGTATAACGTATAAAGGTAGAATTTAATGGAAAAGCTTACGTAATGTACAATCTGAAAAAGACATCTCCAGAGGGATTCGCTCGGCGAGGGCGTCCACGTGTCCTTCACGTGGTTCATCATGAACAGATGAAGTTGGATGCAATAAAAAGGCATGTTTAACATTAAATATACTGAAGAAACTATCAACAAGATTCGTGTAACGGTAATCTGAGTCCTATATGATGTATTCCTTTCTCGTCTTCCATGCACCTCATTCTCTATGAATGTTTTAGTATTATAGAACGCAGCGATCTTCTGCGTAATGAGCATATTCAGCACAGCTATAGCAACGATTGGAACAATAAGATTGAGCACAACGTTAGCAGTGGCGACTCCTGTCAGAAGATGCCTATACTGTGGTAAAGCAATACACATATAGAAGCGACCGAATTTTTGCGCATGCACCGTCCATATTATCGACAAATATCCGGAACAACCAATAAAAACCATGAGAATGACGACGCCGATGGATCTCTTAGTGGTGCACATCTCCTGGCTCCTTCCCGGATGAAAGATGGCGATGTAACGCTCAACTGTGAAACTAATGATAAACCAAACTGAAAGGAAGGCGCAAACGTGTGACATATATTCAACTAACTGGCACCAACCGTTCTTGTGATATGTAGAAACGTTCACCGACTCCAACCATACAATGAATATCATAACGAGTAATCCTGTATCTGTTATGCTTAGGGCAGAGAGGTAAACGCTGGACGACACTCGTTTTAGATGAGAACACGTGAAGACCAGCAAAGACAGAGAATTGCCGATGATGCCGGCGAGGACGATGAACGGGATGCAATAAAGATTGACGGACTTCACTATGTCGGCTATCACTCGATGATCGATCATTTCGTCGGAGGTACTCCCGCTCATATTCAAAAGAATGTCCATATAGTCCGAATCGAACATGAGGATCGTGTCATTACTCTCGAGGTCGACAATCTCCTCATCACTTATGGCAGCAGATGAATTCATTTTCGCTTCGCCTTATGTGCCGTTTATACTACTTTATTAAACAAAAATCATGTATTGCCATACTGGAATTCTTAAACCTCCAAGTCCAAACACCGAACGAAATCTTTCGAGAAGGTCTTTCTGAAAGTATAAAAATGTTGTACATTATCAAACGTCCAACGTCATGTAGCATGGCCGATGCACACATCATTTCAATAAAATAATGTACATTTTTAATCAACAAAGCATATCACAGATTCAATAATTGATATTATTTTTATGCTGTTTTGAGAAATGCCCATTGTAAAAACAACGATTATACTAAGGACAAACTTGATCAGGAATTTAAAATGCATTTTGTATTTACACAAATCAGTATTCGAGATCATAAAACGCATTGGAAGTCCAAATATTAAAATTTTGGGTCCTTAAGATTCAGAGCATCCTTCTTCAAAGGACTTCATTTATGCTTAAAAATTGGAAAGAAGTGAAATACCCTTGGACCAAGGATGATTCAGAGACATTCACGATTTTAGGCAAGATAAGATGAGTAAAGCCTCCTTTCCTCGCAATTTTTATAATAATTGCAGCGTCCCATATTGCCTGAATATCTGATTAACAGGATTTTGTTAAAGTTTATGGGCGAAAGGTAAAGTCAAAGGAGATGATTTCAAGTATGATATTAAAAATATTTTGAATAGTGACAAATAATTAGGATTTCATAGGGAACTGTTAAATCTCTGGAAATGAAATACACTTAGTGATTTCAAAGACAGCTCTATTTTTGGCAGAATGAAAATATTAAGACTACAATTATGGTAGAGAATTGCATTTTCGAAGTTTTATTTTTTATGCAAGAAATTGGACAACAGACCCATGGTCAGATCACACATCCGAAGTCTGATCGCCGATAAGAAGTTCCTAATCCTGCACACCCGAAACCTCGAAAATTACATTTCTCTCGCGTGGTACAAGCAATTTTTTTTCATTTTTGTTATTAGTATAATAATATGATGCCCTTACATGCGTTTCCACGGGAACCATAAAAGTATCCACATTTTATGACAACTAATATATAGACTACACGTATGAAGTATATTCTCATTTCTTAAATTCTCATATAGGTTTATCCATTTCAAGTTATGGGTCATCCTGTTTACACACCATCAGTCATTCAGTGACACGGTTAATAAACGGGTATGTAGTTCCTGTTGCCCGATACCTTTACAATTAATCAAGCGTGCACTTTACCACGAAAATGCGTAAACAGGATTAGCTATAATTGACTTGAACATACAAAATAACAAATAATAAATCTTTTCGCGTAGTTAACTATTAAAACGTAATTTTACACTTTAGAATTACTAAATTAGAATTAGAGTTTGAGTTAAGATTTGACTGACGTATTGGCGCTGACAATAGGGAGGTAAAGCTTGCATATAAAGTCGAAACGCCAATCTATACGTATGACTAATCGCCCATACAAATGCATTGCTTAAATATTTTCCGTTCATGTTTAGGTTTTGAAAAACATTGAAAGCTTAAACTCCCTATTATGAGAAAACATGACGTGAATTAAAGCCAGATAAAATTAAAAATCACCATTAAAAATATGTTCTTCTCGAGTTAAATGAATCTTAATACTAAAAAACACTACCCTTTGCATTCGTTCGACTTCACTTTTTAAAAGAGAGCTTCGTCTTCGTAGTTTATAACTTGACTCTGCGCGCAGGGTAAAAAACACACGCACAGAAATGTTAATATATCATAATTACCATGGTAACGACGATGGTGTGTGATTATCATCTTTGTAAATTGTATGTAAATCTAATACGGCGAGATATTTACGTTGTAAAAACTTACTTTTAGCTACTTCACCCCCTTTTTATCGGCTACGAATTGTATAAACAGGAACAATGGGTGAATATATCAATATGACTGGGGTATCACAATAAGGTAGTTTTTTCACAATCTTTCAATTAAATAAAAAAGCAGTCCAAATCATAACCGGAAAATTCAATTTTCGTTTTTTCGACCTTATATCTTAGGCCTATGTGAAAATGTAATTATCACAGAATGAATATAACAATTTATGTACAACGCTATTTTTCCCTATAATATCTTCCACTTTATAATAACTACAGTGTATAATATAACACAAGTGCTACAAAATTAATCTCATCAATGTATAAAATTATTATCGAAAGGTATGTAGCATATTTCCTCATTTAATACGATAATATCTTCGGCTAATTGGGCACAATATTCAATAACAAACACAGGTGGCGAGACACTCTCAAGATGCTAAATTAGTTTTATATGTACAATGCGACCTGATCATTCTATGAATGTATCTCAGAACGAGGATGTGTGTTTCTCTTTACCTTTGCAAGAATAAAAGTGCAACTGCGACATGAGTGTAGTAATGAAAAAGATGCATCTAAGAGCATATAAGCCAAACGGAAAATAAACCCCAATATCCGAAAACAGCATCTTACACACAAAGGGAGATGCTGTCTAAAATATAAGTTTATTAAATCATTCAATAATCCTGAAATTCATTCATACTGAAGTCATCACAACATGTGTTGAATCATAAAAATGCAGCACAAACTAATAACAAGAACACAAATGTGTACAATATGTCCCCACCAATGGGTGATCCCGTCAAATGGTTATCCTGAAAATGAGTAGACAAAACTCTACCATTACAATTTTGGGATGGAAAATGCAAAGGGCCACCTTAAAATTTACCCAGAATGCCAAAAAATTAGTCAGCTCTAGATTTTCATACTAAGAGTAAGAACCATCTCTGAAAATTTGAAATTGATCCGTCAAACAGTAAACCAGAAAACGCGTAAACAAGACAAGATTTTAGGACGGAAAAATCCAAAATGGCTGCCTTGACATTTGCTCAGAATGCCTAAAAAACTAATCAGTTCTAGATTTTAATACAAGGAATCATCCCTGAAATTTTGAAATTGATCTACCAAACGGTTCACCTGAAAACACGTAGACAAAATGGCTGCCTTGACATTTACCGAGAATGCCAAAAAACTAATCAGATCTAGATTTTCATAATAAGAATCATCCCTAAAAATTTGAAATTGATCTACCAAATGGTTCACCTGAAAACGCGTAGACAAGACTTTACAGACAAGATTTTAGGACGGAAAATCCAAAATGGCTGCCTTGACATTTACCCAGAATGCCAAAAAACTAATCAGATCTAGATTTTTATAATAAGAATCATCCCTAAAAATTTGAAATTGATCTACCAAATGGTTCACCTGAAAACGCGTAGACAAGACTTTACATACAAGATTTTAGGACGGAAAAATCCAAAATGGCCGACAATAAAAAGTGATTATGAGTTTTTGCTGATTTCCTTTTACAAAATTGTAACATATAACCACTGTTAACAATAACATAGGCTTTTACAACAAAGTACACCTGAAATTATTTATAAATATTTTATTCATGGAAAGATCATGATTAGTTTGAATGAGGTTTGAAAATAAGTCATTCATGAAGCTTAGAATATTCACATTTATGAATTTATGAATTTTTAACATACAGGGTGTTCCAAAAGTAACAGGACTGGTGCTGGCATTTTGTCAATTCTGCACCGAGTGTGTTCAAATTTCACAAATTGTACTTTGACGTAGTGCAACTAAAATTGTGAAGTTTCAGAAAAAATGATAAAATGCGGGTAAAGTTATGGTTACTATAGTAACGTGACATCACAATACCCGGGGCAACATGAAAATGTAGTATCTAACATTTTTATATTACTGAAGAAAGTATCTAATTAACCTATTACAATACAACATTTCTTGTTTGTTTTATTAGTTGCTTTATAGTTATGGTGTTGCTATACAACTCAGATTCAAGTATGATTTCATAATAATAATATTGATTCAATTTCCTGAAATTTCATTATGTATAACAGTCTGCACAATTCACTGTTGAATTTTTGAAAAGACCCAATTTGAAGCCAGTCATCCACCTTGATAAGGCGCCTGCCCACAAGTCAGCATTAAAGACCACTGCAGCTATAGCGGAGCTAGGTCTTGAGGTCTAAGATCATGCACCATACTCTTCTGATCATGCAATATCTAATTTTTACTTTTATATGGAGAATGGAATGCTAATCAGCGCGGTAAGACCGTCAAATATGAGAATGACCTTCTCCAAGTTGTCCTATCGACCCTGCGTGACATGTCATCAAATGGGTTCACTCATGCGTTTGAGTCATGGATACAGAGTGCTACTCTTAGACTGACCCAAAGTAAAGGATACATAGGAATATCAAATGATGTATTTAGCAAATGTAATTCCCACCAGTTGTTGGATTCTAACTTTGATATGGGATGTACAAAATGCTTAAAGTCTCTGTAACTTTCTGCGTGGAATGTTGCCCCGGGTATTGTGATGTCATGTTACCATAGCAACCATAACTCTACTCCAGTTTCATAATTTTTGTCGAAACTTTGCAGTTTAATTAACAATACATGAAAGTGTATTATGCACAATTTTGAAGACAATTGGTGCATATTCAACAAAATGCCAGCACCAGTCCTGTTACTTTTGGAACACCCTGTATATGAAGCTTGAAATATAGTATTTGAATTGCTTGGATTTATTGGCTTTATTCCATATTTTGGCTTGAATTGGTAATAAATCGTGATGTCAAGTAAATGAATAAATCGTAATGTTAAATAAACAAATACATCGTGATGTCAAATAAAAAAAATTAGTACCATGGGTACTGGGCTCACATGGTGTTGCTCAAAAGTGAAAATAAAAAAGACGGGTATAATTTTTTGCAGATTTTTTGTGACAAAATTATTTCATACAACTACTCTTTACAAAGACATGGCTTTTTACAATGCAGGACACCTGAACTTATTTGTAAAGCTAGGAAATGGGCCAAAAGTGAATTTGCCGAGACAAAAATGGTGGCCATTTTGAAATTAGGCGAGATTTTGAAGCAGGAGTCACAGTTTTTTTTTCTTTATTGATGTTGAACAAAATTATTTTAAATCGGGAATCCTATCTACAGAGGATTTAAAAAGTGTTGACAGAGGTTTAAAACGTGCCACTTTTTTGGACTGACTGAGAGACAGATGGACGAATCA